AGCGTGTCCAGGGGGTATTGTGTCCCGTCCCAACCCACGCCCCGAGAATTATCAAACCTCACGGCAGGGCACAATCAAATGGAAGCATTTGCTTGTGTGTTTGTTGATTAAGTTTCCCAGAGGGGAAGCAACAGCACCACCGGTCCCAGACCGGGGGTGCGAGAGGCAAATCGCGTCGCGGTGTGGCCTGGGTGTCGAGGGTGCGCAAGCGACCCCGATCGCGAGGCTCAGCCATCCGGAAGGAGCCCTTCGACAGAGCAGTGGCAGTAGGCAAGGCGGGGCGTAGTGTCGGGGTCGCGGGGTTGAAACCTTTCCACCTGACTGGCCACGCTCTGGCCTCCAGCGCCCCCGCCGCCCGCCGGCCAGGAGGCCACGCAGCTGTATTTGTCTCTTTATTAATAGCGACCCAGAGCCGACGCCCAGAAGTTTACAAACTCGACACGCAGTCAACAGGAAGGGGACAGGGGTTGAGGTGCGTGACAGAAAAGTCATAAGGAAAACGTAAACAGGCTTCCGTCCGTCTGTGCACCCAGAAACCCGTTTATTTGGGGCAAATAAGTTTCATTTGCTGTTTCAAGAAAATTTCTTGCCAGCATCGCCAATATCGAATTTTTTTGTTCGCTGGTTGCAAAAACATTTATTTAAAAGAAAAAAGTTCAGTGGAAGTTGTTTAATTTGTTAAACTGAAGCTAAACAAAGGGCGACGTGAGAGATACTCACTTGTATCGCATGCTGCGCCGCTGCACCTGAACAGATGCCTGCATCTTGATGAGGAGCACTCTCGCAATGTTGACGAACAGGGCAAAACTGACCTGGAGAGCAGGCGAGGATATTAGGAAAGTTAGGCAAGGATTTAAAACAAGGTCACTAACCAAATTGCGCATTTTTAGTAGTTTCATTCGCAAAATGCTTACAAACACCGTGATGATAGTGGGGATGCGAACCACGTAGTAGATAGCGTCGTGAGCATGTACGTTCCAGCAATAGTGGTCGTCGAGGTATCGCCGCCCGATCACCCACGGCAGCACCACACAAGCGGGAAGACCTGAAACAAAAGATTATACTTCGTATATTTTGACTTAATGGCCGTTCGAAACAGGTTGACGCTTGACCTGCAAAACGCTTACCCCAGCCTAGGCAGACGTACAACGTGATGGCGCTGTTGTCGCTGAAGAGTGCTAAGAAGATGAGGTTGTGGAGGTAGAGGCCCTCCATTAGGATCCAGGAAAAGTTGGCCATGATGGAGTACTGCCACAGGCTGACGATGAGTTTGCACTCCCAGTTCTGCATCGGGAGGGAGGAAAAGGCGTCAATTATAAAGGCACACAGCTAAACGCCTCATGCCATAGCGCATCTCAGCAGGTGGGGAGGAACAACTGGCGTAACAAAAGAAGAGTTTCTTCTCATTTTGGCCGAGCGCTTTTGTGGTGGGGTACATGAAGAGGGGCGATCTTGGACGCCTTTGTTCAACGCTCTTAGACATCTCCGGCCACCGCTAAGCCTGCGATTGCCGCTGCTACTCTTCTTCCTTCGCGGTCCTCGCCGCCCCGACGGACCGTGGGACATTGCGCGTGAAATTGTTCCGACACCGCCGCAGCACCGCGAGCAGCCACCATCCATACATTACGGAAAGGCACCCGTCCAACTCGAGACCAAATAAGAGACAAGGAGGCAAATGGCTGGCACTTCGGTGGTGTAAATTTCTCTCTGTTCTTCTTTTGAACTTCGAAGTCACTTCAAAGAACGAATTAACCTAACCGTCTTTCTGCACAACTTACGCTGCGGCCGGGGATGAATTCGACCGTGTCGCCGATCAGCTGGAGGTCGGCGGGCAGACCCAGCCCTTGCACGAAGAGCACGTCCTTCAACAGGCACATGGCGGCCCGCAGCATGAAGCTCGCGAAGAGGTGCAGGTGCAGGTTGTTCCGGGGGCAGCGCAGCTTCCTGATGCACAGAAGTGAGCAAAAGTTTTAAATATTATAAGAAGTTGCAGACAAATTTAGCCTGACGAAAATTTGTCAAAAATAAAATTTATAAGGAAAAGAAAATTTGTGTTTTTTTCTCACATTTTTTGGGAACATTTTTAGGATTTACCTTTTCACTTCCAAACTTTTGCTTGCGAGGCGAGCACACAAATTGCCCAGCAGTGTTGAGTCAGGCTCACTTACTTGATGGACAGGAGAATGATGAAGGCGACGACGAGCGTGAACAGGGAGACGCTGTAGCCCACCTGCGCCACCTTCTTGACGACCGGGACCCACAGGTCCATGTGCGTCGTCTGAAAATGACGACATGCCGGTAGTGGATTTATTAGTCGAGGCAGCCACCACCAAAGAAACAAACAATCCCTAATGAAAAAAAACTGTGAATAATGAAAAGAATGCACAGCGCACAGAGAGGAATTGCCGGGAATTGCGATGTGAATAACCAAAATGCCAATTCCCCCCAGCCTCACCGCATTGGTCGACGTCTCCTGTGTGATCAGGCACTGCGAGTAGTTGCTGTAGGTCCATAGCGAGTCGTTGGCCTCGGCTCCGCCGCCCCACGTCCCCGATGAGGAGCACTGCCTGCTTGCCTCCGCCTACACAAGAAGTGGAGAAAGAAGGTTCATTTACATTTTCCAGCATAATCAATTTTATTAATTATTGGCCTTTATCAGCGCTGCCCTCTTCTAAGGTACGAAAGTCGCAGCACATATTGTAAATAAAACGAAGTGTTTCGAAAATTAGCTACCTCTGTTTGAATATAAATACGCTATTTAAAAAGTTTTATACGCTGCTCTCGTGATACAGTGGGAAAGGGGGTGAGAGGGTGCGTGGGGAGCGGGTTGGTTGGTTACCTACACGGGTAATGAGAGAGCGAGGGGATGGAGGTTGGTCGGTTCGGCATCAATACGTATGCAAATAAAATGGTAGATGAAAGGGGCGGTCGTGTGGTTCTCCCAGCGAAATATGGACCACGCCGGGTAAGGAAAGGTGAGCGGGTGAGCGGCCAACACTGTAAGGCGAGAGGACCCCCGGTGGGGACGGCGGGAAAACGAGAGGGATAAGGGATTCGGACCGGAGCGGGGGGTTCTCTCTGAAGGTCAGACGAGAAATTGACTGAGCAGAGTTTTGGCAGTTCGCTTACCGAGTGATTAAAGTTGTGGATGTAATCCGGACACGGCTGCCACGCCGTGCGGCCCGCCGGCGTAGCTGGCCAGCAGCGCACCGCGTCCCACACCGCCGGGCACTGGACGGCCACCGCTGGAACACACAGAGCAGCCGGACGCCACGGTTAGAGCTGCTGCTGCAGCTGGGAAGAGCCCGGGGGCGAGCCCGCGGGGGCGGGCCGGAGATACACAAAGGGGACCGGACCGGAAAATACTGGGAAAATGTGGTGGGTTTATATGGAGAGGGCTACACAAAAAAACTCGTGCACAAAAAATAAACCATCCTGCACCACACACACACGGCTGAGCGCACTGACTACCCCGGTGGTGGATACACAGCCAATGCGACGCACGCACAACTTTGATGTCGGATACCAACCGGGACCGAGGGCGCAAGGGCTTAATCAGAGCCGCCGATAATCACGAAGCAGAGACATCCGAGACGGGGAGAAACGCAACGGAGGGAAGCACCCGACCCTGCTGCGCGGGCGGGTAGGTGACTAAGGGCGGGCGGAGAGGGAGAACAAGTGCGTGGGCGAGCAAGAGAGAGACAAAGCGAGCGAGCGAGCGAGCGAGCGAGAGAGAGAGAGAGAGAGAGAGAGAGAGAGAGAGAGAGA